TGGAAAGAAAGGAAGAAGGCAGAAAACAAGAAAGAACAAAAGAGAGGAAAAAGATATTGAAAAATAAAACAGTAATAAAATTCAAAAGATAAAAGATTACTTTAAAAAACCACAAAAAAAAAAAGGAAGAAAAAAATGAACATCTCTTGTTGGTTTCAAAATGGCCAAACCGTTTTTCTGTTCTGGATTGCTACAGCAGGCTGAGGAGCTATTGGTGTAGTCTTTCTGAGAGCACTCTCTGAAGAGCTAATCTCGTGCCTCTCCCCAGTGTAAGCTGCCTTAGTCCCACTGGTTAGGGCACAAACCCTTCCCAGTTTTGTGGTGAGACTCTAGTTTTTCTGCCCAACCTCAGGACTGCTGCCATGCTGGGTGGGGAGCAGGCCAAATCACTGTCTCAGGAGAATCCTTCAATTTACTTTCCAAAAAATTTCTTTTTAAGAAAGCCTGCTGCTCAGGACAGCCCAATCCTCCATCCAGACCAGTGACTGATATATCAAGTCAGAGACTGACACTGCACCTCTCAATTCTCCTAAGCTGGTGGCCACAGAGTCTACGATGCATCACGGCCCTTTGTTCTTATCACCCTCTCTGCAATGTGAAACAAACAGGTCTCTCCCAGTGGTGTTGCCCAACTTTGCTTGACTGGGGAGGGATGGAGCTGATGACCTGGCTCTCTTTCAAGGACCCTGCAGCAGGCCTGGGGCTCCCAAAGAGTCCAGGTAGACCCATTGCTGGGCATGCCGGTTGTGGGCCGTGACTTCTGCTACTCCTGTTTCCACTCTAATCCCTGAGACCCTACTGTCCTGCAGCTGTCTCCTTACCATCTGGTTTTTTAGTGTCCACTACAATTTCTGTTTTCTTATTTTCATATATGCTGGGGAGCTGTTGGCTATTTGCGCTGTTCCTTTGTAGACTGGCCAGGATTTTTTCCCATGCGTGTGGGGGAAATGGAATCCGCTCCCTCCTGCTTTGTTGCCATCTTCCTTCCGTCAACTTTGTTTTTCTTTCTCAAAATTTCTAAAATTATTTGGTTTTTTTTGTGGTTCCATATAAATTTTTGTATTATTTGTTTTAGTTCTGTGAAATGCACTGATGCTATTTTGTTAGGTATTGTGTTGAATCTTTGGATAATATGGACATTTTAATAATATTAATTCTTATCTATGAGCATGGTATATGCTTTCATTTATTTGTATTTTCTTCCATTTCTTATAATTTTCTGAGTATATATCTCTTAACTCCTTGCTTAAATATATTTCTAGTTATGTACTTATTTTTTGATGCAATTAGATGGGATGCTTTCTTAGTTTCCCTTTATGATAGTTCATTGTTCATATATAAAAATACAAAATATTTCTAAATATTAATTTTGTATCTTGGTACTTTACTGAATTCATTGATCAAATCTAATATATTTTTGGTGTAATATTTAGGGGTCTCTACATGCAGTATTTTTTTTTCTCTAAAGAGGAAGCCATTTCCCTCCTCCTTTTAATGTTACTTTGAGGAAACCAGATTGTATGTCTTTTTTTTTTAATTTTTTTATTGATTATGCTGTTACAGTTGTTCTATTCCCCCTTTCATTCCCCTCCACCCTACCCCCCATCCCCACCATTACCCCCCCTTTAGTTTATGATCATGTGTCTCAACTCCTTTAGATTCTATATTTCCCATGCTATTCTTGCCCCCCATCTATTTTCTATCTACTGTCTATGCTACTTATTTTCTGTACCTTCTCCCCACTTCTCCTCCTCCCACTCCCCTGTTGCTAACCCTCCTTGAGATCTTCATTTCTGTTTCCACTCCTGATCTAGCTGTCCTTTTAGTTTGCTTTTGTTTTAGGTGTGGTTGTTAATAACTGTGAGTTTGTTGTCCTTTCACTGTTCATGTTTCTTTAACTTCTTTTTGTTAGATAAGTCCCTTTAACATTTCATATAATAAGGGCTTGGTGATGATGAACTCCTTGAATTTGATCTTATCTGAGAAGCACCTTATCTGTCCTTCCATTCTAAATGAAAGTTTTGCTGGATAGAGCAATCTTGGTTGTAGGTCTTTGGATTTCATGATTTGGAATACCTCTTTCCAGCCCCTTCTTGTCTGTAAGGTCTCTTTTGAGAAATCCACTGACAGTCTGATGGGGACTCCTTTGTAAGTGACTGTCCCCTTAGCTCTTGCTGATTCTAGGATTCTCTCCTTCATTTTAATCTTGGCTAATGTAATTATGATGTGCCTTGGTGTGTTCCTTCTTGGGTCCAACTTCTTTGGGACTCTCTGAGCTTCCTGGATTTCCTGGAAGTCTATTTCCTTTTCCAGATTGGGGAAATTCTCCTTTATTATTTGTTCAAATAAGTTTTCCACTGGTGGCTGTGCTTTTCCCCTTCTGGTACCCCTATAATTCAGATGTTGGAGCGTTTAAAGATGTCCTGGAGGTTCCTAAGACTCTCCTCATTTCTTTGAATTCTTGCTCCTTGACTCTTTTCTGTTTGGCCATTATTTGCTTTCTTCTGGTCCACTCCATTGATTTGAGTCCCAGTTTCCTTTTCATTGCTATTGGTGTCCTGTGCAATTCCATTCATTTCAATTAGTTTTGCCTTCATATATTTGTCTAATTTGTCGGTATAATCAACCAGTTCTGTGAGGATCCTGATGACCAGTGTTTAAAACTGTGTGTCTGAGAGTTTTGCTATTTCTTCATCGCTTAGATCTATGGGCTCTGGGGCTTTGAGATCTTCTTGAGCCATTTTTGGTCTGTTTGCACCCTTTAAGTGTGAGGAGCGGAGCCTTGGACTCCCAGGTCCCTGGGTTGTGACGCTGTATGTGGGGGCGTGGTCAGAACAGGTAAATGGCCACCCCCTCTGCTGTTTCTCACAGCTGGGTGAGGATCAGGGCATTAGGTGGTTCACCTAGGCCGGGCCACTCAGAGTCGCTGGGTTATGACACTGTATGTGGAGGTGGGGTCAGAGCAGGGAAATGGCGGCGCCTTCCACTGCCGCTTGCCGCGGGGACCCGCCCGGCCCTGGTCCAACCGCCCACTCCCTCACCTGTCTGCCCATGCACAAATGTGCGACCACAGTCAACACGCAGCATCGCTCCCCTGCTGTCTCCCCCGCGGTCGCTCGCCTGGTGGCTCACTGGGTCGCTCACTAGGTCCAACCCTGCGCCTGGATTCTGCGTGCGTATGGATTCCGCACGCCTGAGTCCATCCGACCGACTTTTTTTGTGCAACCCCGCTTCACCAGCTGCTGGTTTCACCCCTTACCGGTCAGGCTGAAGAATTTGTTGTTAACGGACTTCCAAAAAGTTCAATTTTCCGTGTTCTGGCTGTGTTTTCTGTTGCTAATATTTAGTTGTCTCTAAACTTGGTTGTGTGAGAAGGTACGGCACATCCACCTATGCCTCCATCTTGGCGGAAGTCCCTACATGCAGTATTTTGTTATCTGCAAATATTGACAGTTTTACATCTTTCTTTGCAATTGGATTTCTTTCATTTCTTCTTGTCTAATTGCTTTGGCTAGACTTGCAGCGTCATGTTCAATAAGACTGGTGAAAGCAGACATTTCTGTCTTGTTCCACCAGGAAAAACACTTTTAATTTTTCTCATTGGGTATGATGTTGGCTATGGGTTTGCCATTTTTGGTCTTTATTATGTTGAGGTATGTTCCCTCTAACCCACTTTGTTGCAATTTTATATCATAAATGGGTCCTGGATTTTGTCAAATGCTCTCCCACATTTATTGATATGATCATATGATTTTTATATTTTATTTAGTTAATGTGGTGTATCATGTTAACTGATTTCTGCATATTGTATCAAACTTATATCCCAAGAATAAATCCCACTTAATCATGGTGTATGATATTTTTAATGTATTGCTGAAGTTGGTTTGCTAACATTTTGTTGAGGATTTTTGCATGCATGTTCATGAGGGATATTGGGCTATAATTTTCCTTTTTCTGTAGTGTCCTTATCTGGTTTTGAAATTTAGATAGTACTGGTGTCCCAAAATAAGCTTGGGAGTGTTTCATTCTCCTGATATTTTTAGAATAGTTTAAGTCACTTATCTTTCCTTTGTAAGATGATTAACAAACTGATTCTATTTAAACTGTGGAAAACAAATGAAACCATTAAATGTTTATATTTAAAGCAAATACTTTAATAGAGGTAGCAGAGTCTTCTGTAGGCTACATGCCCTGACCCTAGTCTATAAATGCTCCTTCTGACTTTCCAACACAACTTCCAAACTCTGCCTCTGCACATTCTTTTTAAAGCATCCATTCCAAACTCACTAGGTATTTCTATTATGGTCTTGTTATAATTGCAGTATATCTAGTAGAACTGGAAATATTTTTTTTGTTTATTGAGAAGGAGCAAAAGGGGAAATATAGAAAACATTTTTATTTGTTACTCCTTTAGGGAGAGATATTAGAGAAAAACAGTGACATATATTAAAATAATATCTTTTAATTTGACATTATTTTAATGGTGAGCACTTAGGGCAAAAGTATGTGCTTTCTTTTTATTTTATCCCTGTGTACAACATCCTGGATAGAACTAGTGTGACTGATAATATTATTTATTTACATGTGGAACAAATAAATATACCTACAAGTTATATGTTGCTTAGGGACTTTAAGTTCAGACAAACACTTACAATATTGGTTCTCAAAAACTAGGTCAGTTTATTTAATTTGTATCTCCTTTCTCCTTCTGAACAAAATTTATGGTGGGGGTCTGATAACTCCTTTTCTATACTTCCATATATGTACATGCTTAAGATGTAGTAAAAACTTACAAATGAAGACTTACAGCATCACCCATCAAAATTGCATGTTTCTTCCCTCTAGTTTCCTTTGTTTTTTTTATATTCCATGTTGACAAAAAGATAAGGACCAGCAAGGAATGGTCTTGGGGAGGGAATGGAAGGCTTTGAACACTAGTACCCACAGACAAATACACAAAAAACTTGTGCTGTATACATTAAAATTATTTTCCCTTTTAGATCTTGAACTTGCCTGAATTGATTGATGACTGCAAGTATAAAATTAACCACCTTTGGGTACAGAACAGAAAAGAGCTTATTAAAATACTATCTGAATGGTAAGCTTGGAACTACTATTTGTACATTTATGAGTTATGTCATTAGCATTTCTCTGATGTTTTGTGTGTTCTTCGCTTATTTAGATCAAGTTGAAATTATTTTCCATTTCAGAAAATTGATTTGTAGGAACTAGTTTTAATACTAATTGCCTTCTTTATTTGAATGCATTGAAAGCTTTATATGTCTTTTTAAGTCTTGAGACTTAACAATTGTATAAATAAGAAAGTTGGAGTGTATTGATTGTGGCATGTTATTTAGGGTTAGGATGTCATAAATACCAACAACAACAGAACATGTATAAAGGACACATGTACAAAGCCAAAGGGGGATAGAATCAAGGGTGGGATGTAGGGGTAGTTGAAGTGGGGGGAAGTTGTGGGAGGAAAATGGAGAAAATTGTACTTTAACAACAATAAAAATAATTTTTTTACCATTCTTGTCTTAAACACTGTACATAACTGATCTGTTTTAACCCTTACAATATTAAACCTCTTTTTAACCTTACAATCATCCTGTGAGTTAAGTTTTATTATTCCCTTTTTAGCAACAGATAAGGAAACTGAGAAAACCAGAGTTAAGTTGGGTGTGTTGACATTTTTGAGCCCCTTCTGTGAATTTTGTCATGATGTTTTAAAAATGCCAGATTGAATTATGGGCCACAAAGGATTAATGTAAATCAGAGTATTTGATTTCCAAATTATTCCATTCACATCAGGTTATGATCTGTTGAAACCTGTACCAATAAGTTTGACTCAGAAGAAAAGTAGTAATTCTTTGTTATTAAAATCAGTTTCCCTTATTTATTTCTACATCTCTAAATATATAAATTTACTTTGTGGTTTTTGTAGTTCTAGATACATGCTTGAGCATTCTTCAGTATGGAACATTGGCTCACATTATGCCAGTAAATTAGATATTGTTGTTCAAGTACCATATCTTGTTCTTTGAAAAGGTACTTGTGTTTCTATGTATTAGATATCAAAGTTCTTAGAACAAAAATTCTGCTAATGTAATTTTTATTTTTGTTTTCTTTATATTTGGGGCTCTGACGTGAGTCAACATTCATTATTTATTTGCTCTCTCCTGGATTTTAAGCACTTCTGAACGCTGCCTATATCCCCTTCATGAGCCAAATGTTCTTCAGTCAGTGGGAGCTCTGTGTGTGGGACTGATATGCAGAGAATAAGGAAATGAGAATTGGGCTCCCTTCTCCTGGTCATTAGTTATATATAACTCTGATTCTACTGCAAAGCCTTAGAGCCCTCAATCATTAACCTTTCTGTACATGAGAATTGGCCATTTATTTATGCCTTTTGCCTCTTTGCCTTGTAAGCAGTTTCTAATTCATTTAATTCATTGATATGACTTTTTGCTTTCACACCATGGTTACCAAGCTTCAATAATAGACTCTTGTAAGAACCTTATAAAACCTCTTTGATAGCTAAATAAATCATATCCATTCTATGAGAAGAGTGGATCCAATAAAAATACAAAAGCTAGGCTGTTACAAGTGTCATTTTATTATTCAGTTGCCAGTACTTTCATAACTTCAAGAACCTCAAAGTTAAGTTATTGGTTTCCTAAGTCCTAAAACTTTTATTCCTTGCTAATTTCTATTGTTGAATTGTGCCGTGAAAGGACTTTTAGCAGCAGCTGTAAGAGATTAACTCTGTTTTCTCTCTTTGGGGTGAATTAAATAATTTTACCTTCTTTTTCCTACTCTTATATACACAGAAGGGGAATTTCAGCATTTTGCAACACATAAAATTATTATATCTTTATTTACACTACAGAATAAGGAATCAAAACAAGAGACTAGTGAGTAACCTTAAGAGAGGAAATTTGATAGAGGTCACATCATCATGTTCTACTCAAACCATAGAAAGAGACTTTATTGCTCAAAGAACAAGTTTCATGCTCTCTTGTGCTAGTATGTTGACATTTTTTGGTGTTCTCTAGTGGTATGCAGTTCTTCAGTCTCTTCCAGATTGTGTCTCCTCTCCCATGTGGTGAATCAAACAGTAATGACCTGTGAAGATTAGGATATGATTCATTCCCATTTATAACCTTGTCATTTGTTTTTCTGAACTCATTAGTTCATTTCTGAACTCACTGAGTTCATTAGTACTGTCTGCTGCTCAGCTTTTAGAAGTCTGTGATTATTTTAAAGTCTACCATTTTATGATTATTTTTCTAATAGAGAAATCTCTGGATTTCTACTAATTATAGCATTAAATCTGGTCTTTTTAGTCAGATATCATGGTCCACATCCTAACATGACCTTTACTTTCCCTCTTTCCTCAAGGTAAGGTGCCTACTCTAGCCACACTCCCATTAGGTTTCTTTTGTACTCTCTCTGAAGTGCTTCCCAGACTTACCATTATTTAGAAACAGTCATGAAATTATCCCCAAATATCTCTATTAGGGTTTCCACTCAGCTGACATTACCTTCAGGAAAGGTGTCTCTTTGTGCCTTGCATCAGACTATCAGTTATCAAACATAAACAGAATCCACGGGAATTGTTTCAGGGGATAATATTGTTAAAGGTATGCTCTACACTTTGTTCCTTTCATTTCACAGCAATCTCTAAACTTATGAATCACAGACACATTAGCTCCCAACCACAAAAAGGAGGTAGGTTTAAAGGAAGGAGAAAAACCAGCATTTACTTGATGCCAAGTGCTTCCCAGAAAAGTACTACTAGTTTTCCCACTTTAAAGATAAGATTCTGAAGTGTAGGGAGGTTAGTCTCAAAGTTAGATCTGTAGTGAATAGTTAGTTAAAAATGGGATTCAAAAAACAGTACCTTTTTTACATATCATATTGTCTCCATGAAGTAGTAAATGAAACAATGGAACTTGGTGAAAAATAATTTAGGGAAGAGGAATGAGAAGTACCAGAAGTTGGGTATCAAGCTGGCTATTACATTTCAACTTGTCAGGGCCTCTCTGTTAAAGTAACATTTGTTAAGAGTTTTGAGGGAGATGAGATACGGAGACTAGCAGAAATCTTGGAGGAGCTTTCTAGGCAGCAGGTACATGGTTGGGAGTTTAAAGAGTAGCAAAGAGGATATTATGCCTGGAGCTCAGTGATCAAGGAAAAAAGTGGAGGTAGGTGGGTCCAGAGACAAAGTGACAGAGGTGGCAGGCAAATCATATTGCAAAAATTATGACATTTATGAAAAAGTAGTTTCTTAAACTTGTGAAATAAAGGAATTACTTTTGGCTGTACAATCAGTTTGCTTATCACCATGTTATATGTTAAATCCTCTGAACTTACTCATCTTATAACTGAAAGTTTTCTCTTTTAAAGATGTTATTTATTTATTTTGAGAGAGAGGGGAAGGAAGGGAGAACAAGAGGGGAGAAACATTGAGGTGTGAAACATCAGTCGGTTACCTCTTGCATGTGTCCCAAATGGGGACCAAACCCGCCACCAAGGCATGTGCCCTGACAGAGAATCAAACTACCTTTGGCTTTGCAGGATGACACTCAACCAACTGAGCCATGCTGGCCAGGGTTGTAACTGGAAGTTTTTACATTTTGACACCTTTACTCATTTCTTCTACCCTAAAGAGATGTTCTTTAAGGGAATACTATACCTGGTAGAGTTCAGTCTTCCAGCAACTTAGAGATAGCAAAACCTCCTTCTTCACCTGGGGACTTGTGGGACTCAAGAGTTTCAGTGGAATATGCTTCTCATTCATTCATTCTCTCACTCACTTATTAACAATTATTTACTGAACATCTACTATGTGCCAGTGACTTTTTGAGCATTAGGAATAGAGCATTAAAAATAATAAAGACAAATGCCTTCCCTACTGACTTTTCTTAGAGTAACCCTTGCAAGACTTTCTAGAAAACTTTTAAAAAATAATTTTAAGAATTCTTTCCTAAAAATATTTTTTGTGATGTCTAAGTAATTAGCTTTCCATATTTAAAAAAGGAATTTATTTATTTAGCCCTGGCTGGTGTAGCTCAGTGGATTGAGCGTGGGCCTGCAAACCAGACAATCGTGGTTCAATTCCCAGTCAGGGCACATGCCTGGGTTGCAGACCAGTTCCCTGCAGGCCAGTTCCCAGCAGGGGATGCACGAGGAGCAACCATACATTGATGTTTCTCTCCCTCTATCTTTCCCTTCCCCTCTAAAGATAAATAAAATATAAAAAAATTATTTATTTAATATTATGGAGAATAGAAGGGAGAAAGAAAATAGGTGGAGAAACATCAATGTGTGAGAGAAACATTGATGGGTTGCCTCTTAGCCTGCACCCCAGGCCTTTTTCCCTGACTGGGATTTGAACCAGTGACCCCTTGGTTTATAGGCCAGTACTCATTCATGGAGCCACACCAGCTAGGGGATTTCCCATAGTTTTTATACAACTTTTTAAATTTTGCTTTATAAAAGTATTACAATTACAGGCTGCCTGTTAATAATTTATTGTCTTTTTTTGAACATGTTAATGTACATGCTACAATTTTGTTCACTGTGATTTCCCAATTATTTTTATACTAAAAGGATTATCTTGGTAACAATAGCTGCATTACCATGTGAGTATGTCATGATTTTGCCTGTTGTCTGCTATTAAACATTACATTATAAATACTTTTCTTTAATACTTACTTCTTGGCCTACATTTTTATTTTATAAAGTTGCTAAAATATGTGAAAATGTACAGGGAGTTGTGAGAGTGAATTTGAACTGCAGATAGCTTTTAAAACCAAATTCTAGGAATGAGGGACTCAGTGTTTATTTTTTTAAAAGTCTTAGCCCTGATAGTGACCAGAGGGGAGAAGGAAGGGAAGTTAAGGAGAAAAAGGGGGAGGGATATGGAGGAACAAATAGGAAGGACACAGGGACGAGAACTAAGGGGGGTGGAAATGGGAGGGAGGTGGGGAGCAAGGGGTGGGGGAGGCTGGGATGGGAAAAATAGACAAAAAACTGTACTTGAAAAATAACTAAATAAAATTTTTAAAAAAGAATAAAATAATAAAAAAA